CAGGTGTACTGGACGCCCCTCCAAGTGAAAGCAAACTGTGGCCTGCACTCTGCTGCCAAAGGGACTGAGAAAAATGCATTAGCGATGTCAATGGTGGCACACCACTTGGCTGCCTTTGACTCCAATTCGTATTGAAGTTCTAACATGTCTGGCACAGCAGCACCCAGCAGCGGTGTGACTTCGTTCAGGCCCCAATAGTCTACTGTTAGTTTCCGCTCTCCATTAGACTTTTGCACTGGCCATATGGGACTGTTAAAAGGTGAGCGAGTCTTGTTGATCACTCCTTCACTCTCCAGTTGATGAATCAACTTATGGATGGGAATCAGGGAATCTTGGTTGGTGCGATATTGCCACCGGTGCACCACTGTGATAGCGATTGGCACCTGTTGTTCTTTGACCCTCAGCAGCCCCACAATAGAAGGGTCCTTCGAGAGACCAGGCAGGGTAGACAGCTGTTTCATTTCCTCTGTCTCCAAGGCAGCTATACCAAAAGCCCACCAGTACCATTTTGGGTCTTTGAAATACCCTGTCCTGAAGTAGTCTATGCCAAGGATGCACAGAGCCCCTGGGCCAATCACAATGAGGTGCTTCTGCCACTCCTTCCCGGTTAAGCTTACTTCAGCCTCCAATACAGTCAGCTGCTGGGATCCCCCTGTCACTCCAGAAATACAGATGGGTTCTGCCCCTTTATAGCCTGATGGCATGAGGGTGCACTGTGCACTGGTGTCTACTAAAGCCTTATACTCCTGTGGGTCTGATGTGCCAGGCCATCAAATCCACACAGTCCAGTACACCGGGTTGTCCCTTTCCTCCACCTGGTTGGAGGCAGGACCCCTCTAGTCCTGGTCATAGCATTCGTTACTCACTTCTTGTAAATGCGAATCAAAAGTCCCTTTATTAACATCAGAAGCAAAATCAGACCTTCTACTCTGTCTGGGGAACTGCTCACTGGAAACTGGAGCAGCAATTTTCGTGGAAGAACCACCTATTGTAGTTGTTTTTCCTTGCAACTCACGTACCCGTGCCTCTAGGGTTGAGCTAGATTTTCCATCCCACTTCCTCATGTCCTCTCTGTGGTCACGCAGATAAGGCCACAGGGTGGCCTGTGGTATGTATCCACTTTATCTTCTCTTTTGAACAGAGGGACTCTTACTCCTAATGGCTGAGATAGTGGTCCGTACAGGTGAGGAGTAGGACATGTCCTCTTTGAATCGCTGGAACTCCCGGGATAATTTCTCACCTATCACATCAGACAGTTTCTCCACAGCCGTGATGCAGGCCCATAGGGAGGAAAAGAGACCTTCTTCGTGTTGTCGGAGTTGGCCAGCCATTTCGTCCACCATTGGTCCCTCTTCATCTTTCCAGGTCATTATTGTCAGAGTTTGTGTATGATGATTGTGTGCTCCGTACAAACTTCCGCCACATGGGTTGTGTGCACTGGACTTCATCTGGATCTCTGGATAACTGCTCATTGTCCAGGTCATTATAAATCACCTCCAGCACGGCTAATTCCCTCACGTACTGGATACCTCTCTCCATGGTGGTCCACTTGCCTGGGTGACGTAGAACATCTTCCTTGAAGAGATACCTTTCCTTCACACCTGACAGGAGTCACCTCCAGAGGCTGAAGGCTTGTGCCCCTTTTCCAGTTGCTTTGTCAATGCGCCCTTCCCTAGAAAGGGATACCAGCTGCTTGGCTTCCCTACCCTCGAATTCCAGGCTACTGGCCCCATTATCCCAGCATCAGAGCAGCCAAGTGATGATGTGCTCGCCTGGACGACGACTGAAATCTTTTCGCATATCTCGCAGCTCACTCAGGCGCAGCGCCTGTCGTTTTGTCGTCAGATCCAGAGACCTTCTCTTCCCCTTGAGGGTTCTGAATAGTGTTTAATAGGGCTGGGTAGGCATGGGCCAGGCCCCAGCACATTGCAAAATACTGGAGGGGCCCACTGTCCTGGGCATTTGCCCATGCTCTCCCACATACCCTGCCACTCATAACTATCCAGCCATGGGGCAGATCTCTGGATGATATTCTTAAACTGCTTATTAACCTTAGACAAAACCAAAACAGTATTCCCAAGAACTACCAATAGATATATCTTAACTACCAAGGATGTTCAAGATACTGAAAAGTTGTTGTAATGAAGGTGGAAACGTCATAGAAGAAGGCAGCGAAGGTTCCATTCTGTATTTCCTCAATAAAAAACTTCTCGGAGGAAGAGATATAAATGCTAATTGTCTCCATGAGGTGGTACGCGAAGTACACTTCACTACAGAACCCAAATACCAGATCACGCTCAAGGTCAGTGTTTTAATAATAAGTCTCCAAAGCAAAACATCACTTCAGAGCATAGCAAACTACAAAAACAAGACCAGTCTTTAACATGTACTGCAAAAGCAAGAGCAAGGTGCAGATCAAGTAGACTAATACCAAGAAAAGATGAATCAAAATTATGACAGGCAACTGTTAACAGATACAAATTCCTTAATACACTCTGCTTAGTCTGTTATTAGCTCAAACATTTCAAGCCTCACATTGGGCGACAAAAAGGACTGTCATGGTTTAAGCCCAGCCAGCACCTAAGCACCACACAGCTGCTCGCTCACTGCCCCGCTGCCCCGATGGGATGGGGGAGAGAATTGGAAGGGGGAAAGTGAGAAAATTCATCGGTTGAGGTAAGAACAGTTTAATAATCTAGGTAAAATAAAGTAGAATAATAGTAATAGTAGTAGTAGTAGTAGTAGTAATAATAATAATAATAATAGTAGTAATAATATACAATAATAATATACAAAGCAAGTGATACACTATACAATTGCTCACCACCCACTGACTGATGCCCAGCACATCCCCAAGAAGCGATTGTTGCCCCCCAGCCAACTCCCCCCAGTTTCTATACTGAGCATGACATCATATGGTATGGAATAGCCCTTTGGCCAGTTTGGGTCAGCTGTCCTGGCTGAGCTCTCTCCCAGCTTCTTGTGCACCGGGCAGAGCATGGGAAGCTAAAAGCTCTTGACTGCTGTAAGCACCACTTAGCAACAACTAAAACATCAGTGTGTTATCATCAACATTATTCTCATACAAAATCCAAAACACAGCGCTACACCAGCTACTAGGAAGAAAAGTAACTCTATCCCAGCTGATACCATGACAGGCTGTAATGAGTGGGGCAGGGAAAGGGACTCTAGGGAACTTTGGCAGGGTGACTCTAGGGAACTTTGGCAGGCTACACAGAGAGCGCCAGTGTTTGTGGGGCTGTGAATGGGGTTCCAAGGATACTTGAGGACCAGCAACAGCTTTCAGTTCTGACACCTTTGGTGTGGAAGAAATCGATGGACATTTGCAGTATTGGAGCTAGGCTCTGGCTATGTTAAGGAGGGTAGAAAGACTAGTACAAAGTCTAGATAGACAGAGGCATTGCAGTGACAATTGGGAGATTTCTACAGCTGCTTCATGTCCAGAGGTTCAAGCTCCACAGACCCAGTGCTCCTGCAACGCAGGCTTCTACTCAGGCCTTGCCCAAGACATAAGCAGGCAGCTGTCCTGTAGCATGAGCCACTGCAGAGTTCAACCACCTGAAAAACAGGAGCATTGAGGTCCAGCAGCGCAGCTGAGGCTGCTGACCGCAAGTCAGGGCAATCATGGGGAAGGCTCCGGCTCCGCAAGTGCCCGTGCAATCCTCTGTTAGCTCACATGGTTTCCAAAAACAAGTGACGCCCCTTACTTGCCCAGATTTGACACTCAATGCACAGCCTTCTCCCTGGTTCCCTGGCTGACAGATTGAGTCCAACAACGAAAAAGCTTGGCAGTAACGTATGGTTTTGTCCAAGTCTTGGACAAAAGGGCACAAAAGCAGGTAAAAGAATTCCCACCTGTGCAGTAACAGAAGCTTGCTGGGTTTCCCTTTGGGCTCTGACCTGGGTCTCTCTCCTTCCTGCATCACCTGTTTTCATGACACACTTGGGACTGCAACCCAGGAGACCGCTTCACCTCGTGTCCCTGCAGAGGGGAACCACATGGACACAGGGCCAGGATGTAAAGTTCTGATCTTTCTAGCCCTCCCCTCTGGCTCCCCAAGCATGTCCCAGGTGTAGGGGAGGGCCACAAGCCAGGGCTGTGGGGCAGTGCCCTGACATTTGCCTCTTTGTCCCATGCCTTAGGAGACATCCTGGAAAAAGCAACAGGCCTTAGCAGCTCTTGGCAGCAGCAGGAAGGAGGCGCGTACGTTCAGGTAGGGTCAGGGAGGTCAGAGGACTGGCAGCAAAAGGCCTGCCTCGGAGCAGGAGGGGAGCACCCAGCAAGGCCAGCTCCTCATCGCTCCTCCTGTGTCACTGCAGATTTCCATTGCCTGAGGCCAGAGGCAAACAAGATCATCTGCAACTGTGGACCACCGCGGGCCAGGGTTACTTATGGCAATAAATCTCCTTTTGCGGCTACACCAATGGAGAGTTGACCTTTCTTTCCTAGAGACAGGGGGGCCATGCCAGGGCCACGCCAAGGCCTGAGGGGATGTAGCTCTTACTGGGAACAAGGGAAAGACTGACTGTGCTGCCTGCTCACCCCAGGCTGGAGGCCCCTGGCATTCCTGCTGGAAGGCTGTTTGCCCTGGGCTACATCTCCCAGCATGCCCTGGGGCACCACACTCGCCCACAGCCACAAGGGGTGATGCCCTGGCCTGCTGCAGAGCAGGGGTCTACAGCTGCAAGCGTGCCGTGTGGTGCCGCACAAGCGCACTGCCCTCCTCCGCCGCCATTTTCTCACTTGTCAGACCAGCCCCTCAGAGGAGCGGCAGTGGCCCATGAGGGAGGCTGCGCAGGCCAGTGCCCACGCTGCATCTTGTGGGACTTAGCTGACTGCTCCCCTCCCCAGTGACCATTGTTAGCGCTTATGTTTTATTTAGGAGAGAGATTTTTAGGTGTATTATTTCTTGAGGTTCGGGGTTTTTCTCTCTCTCTCTGCGCCTTGGAGGGTCGTAGGGTGCAGCCGAGTGTCAGTCATGTCCCTGACTTCCCTAGAGGAGACGCTGGCAAGCGAGGGTATGGGCAGCATGATGAGCTGCTACTGCTTCATTAACAGTAAAGAGATAAAAAAGGAAAACGTGAGCCTGCTGCTGAGTCGAGCAGATGATAGAGTTAGAGGAGGTGCAGGTAAGTTGGCCATCCTGAAAATCTTGCTTTTCTCAGTCTCCGTGAGCAGGGTCTCCCAGGCCTTTGTGCCCCAAGGCAGGATGTAAGGAGAAGAAGACTAAGCAGCAGTGGGTGAGGAGCAAGTCAGGGGTACTGTATTTAACTGAAGCTCTTAGAGTCAGTGGGACTAGAGGGGCTGCAGCCAAAGGGGCTAAGAGAGCAGGCCAAAGTCATAGTGGGGCTGCTCCGTATCATCTCTGAAAGGCTGTGGAGATGAAGTGAAAAGATGTCTTTTACTTTGTCTTCAGCAAGCCTTTCAATAGCATCCCCAACAATGTTCGCGCATCCAGGTTAACAAGTTATGTTCAGCATCCCTGGATAACTAGGCGGGTAAAACACCGGATGGACGCTTGGGCTCAGAGGCTTGCGACTACTGGGTCATACTCTAACTAGAACAGAATAATGAGAGCAGTATGGTCCATCATGGAGACCTGTCATGGGTCCATCTGGAGACCTGTCCTGTTTAATTTCTTTATCAGTGGCCTTAAAGAGGTGATGGAGGGCACACTCCTCAAGTTTGCAGATGATAGCCTTCGGGTGAAAGCTGCCAGCCCTGGGGAGGTAGACCGGTGAGAGGAATGGACTGAGAGGAACCTTAGCAATTTCAGGGGGGAGAAGTGCAAAGCCCTGCCCCTGCAGTAGACTATGAAATCAGAGCGACACAGGCTGGGCACTGCCTGGCTTTGGAGCAGCTCTGTGGAAAAGGCCCTGGGGGCCTGGTGGACTGTGAATGGCACATTGGCCAGCAGCACGCCCTGTAATCAAAGGTGGCCAAGGGCATCCTGGGCTGTATGAACAGAAACAGAGCCAGAAGGCCAAGGGAAAGACTTAGGCCCTTTGAGCCAATCCTTACTAGCGCAGTTCTAGAAGACTGCCTCCAGGTTGGGCTCGTAAAGCGTGGGTATTGCACCACCTAGAGAGTCTCTCTACCTTCCTCATTACAGCCAGAGCCAGCTCCAAAATTGCAAACTTCCACCTATTTCTCCCATACCAAAGGTGCCAGGATTGTAAGCTGTTGCTCATCCTCTTCTGTAGCAAACACTACACATCAAGGTTATCCCACTAGATCTCCAGCCGACCCGGGCTTTATACCCCCAGCAGTAGGTGTGTCATGTTATAAGGGGCGGAGACAAGGGAGGGTCGACCCTTAACTCTTTCCGTACAGCACGTGATCTTCCGGTCGCCAGCCCTTATCTTTACTACAAACAGGCACTTCCATGAGTTGACAACATCCTCGTTTATCTGGCTGCCTCTATCCTGCTCAGTGAAAAGCAGCATCTGGTAGTGGGACATACTCACATGTTATCTATGTGAGGCTACAGCCAGAGCCACAGAAGAATGTGGAAGTGCAAGTCAACCATATGAGTTTCACCCGCAATGCATGAGACGTGACAGATCTGTAGCACACTTGTGATGGCTTAACTGGGCTAGCACAGGTAACAACAAGTAGTGAAAGCAAGCTCTCCAGATATTCTGGGAAAATATATGGGAGTACCTATACTATCTTCTTTCATTACAGCTGCTAGGTGGCTTAAGATACCAAATGTAGGTAGCGCAGTTCTAGAAGACTGCCTCCAGGTTGGGCTCGTAAAGCGTGGGTATTGCACCACCTAGAGAGTCTCTCTACCTTCCTCATTACAGCCAGAGCCAGCTCCAAAATTGCAAACTTCCACCTATTTCTCCCATACCAAAGGTGCCAGGATTGTAAGCTGTTGCTCATCCTCTTCCATACTTGGAACCTCATTCACAGCCCCATAAACACAAGGGCTCTGTGCTTGCCAAGCCCCCTGAAGGTCCCAACACTCTTTTTCTACCCTGCCCTCATTGCAGGCAGAGCCCAGCTCGGAAATTGCAAATGTCCAGTGATTTCTCCCACACCAAAGGTGCCAGGACTGAAAGCTGTTGCTGGTCCTCAAGCATCCTTGGAACCCCAATCACAGCCCCACAAACATGACGGCTGAGTACTTGTTTAGCCCCTAAACGTCCCAAAACTCTTTTCCTCCTCCACCTCCATTATAGCCAGAGCCCAGCTCAGAAATTGCGAACATCCAGGGATTCCTACCACCCCAAAGGTGCCAGGACCAAAAGCTGTTACTGGTCCTCAAGCATCCTGGGAACCCCATTCACAGCCCCATAAAGATGACAGCTCTGAGCTTGCCAAGCCCCTAAAGGTCCCAATAGTCTCTTTCTCCCCCGCCCTCATTACAGCCAGAGTCCAGCTCGGAAATTGCCACGTCCAGCAATTTCTCCCACAGCGAAGGTTCCAGTACTGCAAACTGTTGCTTTTTGAAGCTCTATATCCATGATTGATGATAGAAGCAAAGAACTGAAATTCTAATTGTGGCATAAGAGCCTGAAGATAAAGTGAGCATAATTCTAAAAAAGTCTCTAAATTCATACAGGTTTTTCTTGCCACCACCTCTTGCCTGTAATACACATGTGAGTAGGCTGCTTTTAGCAGAGCAAGAATAGGAATGGAGGGTGTTTGGGCCTCTTGGTTAGACTTACAGATCGGTGTCTCCTTTGGATGAGCGAGGGTTGAGTGGGGGTCCCTTGATTTGACTCACAGGACTGGCCCTGTGCCCTGCTCCCTCTACAGTGCCCACTCCCCCCCAGACCTGTTAAAGTTTCTGTGGCAGACTTGTAGAAAAGGTGGCCAATAAAGCCACATTTTATTTTGATATCATTTTCTTTCAGTGAATGTTTAAAATTTATAATTAGTTGCATTATCTCTCAGTAAAAAAAACAACCAATGAAACTTTTTTATGTATATATATATGTAGCTGTATTATAAACGGTACACGTAAACAAAAAGGTTGGACTTTAGCTGGCAACCAGTGGCAAGGAGTTGTTAAATCCCAGGTACCACCTGTGGGACAGAACATAGATTAAGGACTAAGTGCCTTTTATGTTTCTCCAGGGTAAAGGGAAAGGTTTATCTTGCAGCTACTTCTATGGCTCTCATACACATATAGAAGTGCAAACATATATTTTATCTATCCATACATACGTACGCATTTAAACATGTATAACTAACACATACGTATGAAGGTGTACAAACACACATAAAACGCATTTATCTCTGTTATATATACTGACATACATATAAGCACGCCAGTATCATCCCCCACCGCCCTCAATGCAATGTCTGCTATTCACCTCCAGGTGTACTCAGATCCCCACTTTCTCCTCTCTGCGTGTCTTCACTGCTCGGTCCTGCTGCTGGAGGATGAAATGCAGAGGCCTCCCTCTGCCCCAGCCTCACTTCAACAGGAGAGCAGAATCAAGACCTGGGGAGAGGGGAGAAGGTTAAAAACACCTCAGAGGAGGGATGGAAAAGAGGCCTTTCTACAAGGATCGACGTTCCTCCCTCCTTTCTGCTGCTGGGAAACAGAGAAGGCTGAGAGTTGTACGTACTGGTTCTCAGGTTGGCTCTTCGCTGCAGCTGCTCCATGTAACGGATGTCCTGCAGGATCACACAGTTGGCCACTCTCCCCCAGCGCCCAGGGGTGATGGGCAGGGGAGCTGCCGGCATACGGAGGGCCTGGCAGCAGGCTATGGTGGCCTACAGTTAACAGAGAGAGTCAGATGTGCTAGGCCCAGTGTGCCTGGCAGGCTGCCGTGGTTCTCTCCTGAGCATGGTGTGAGAGAGAAACCAAGGACTAACATTCCCCAGGGGACCTAGAGGCCATCACAAGCCAGCCAGCTCTACCAACTGATTTGATGACCTGGTCGCTCTTTGTCGACTTTGTGGATCTGCCATGAGGAGTCCATTCTGGCCTCCCCCTGATGCCAGAAGAGGTGTTGGCATTGACAGTGCAGACCTGGTAGATGTCCCTTGCCCCTTCCAACTGAGAGGAAGGACAGCAGGACATCAGCAAGCTCAGAGGGGAGGACAACCTCTTTGGCCATGCACTCACCTTCTTGTGCTGCTGGCCCAGGACTCTGTACCAAACTACAAAATGTCAGTAGAATGACAGAATAATTCCAGTTGGAAGGGACCCCAGGAGGTTTCTAGTCCAACTTCCTACTCAAACCAAGGTCAGCTATGAGGTCAGGCAAGGCTGCTCAGAGCTTTACCCAGTCTTGTCTTGGACACCTCTAAGAGCAGAGACTGCACAAGTTTTTTTGGCACCCTACTCCACTGCTTGACCGTCCTCATGGGTAAAAACCTTTTCCTTATATCCATGGCCCCATATAATGTCTTGTGCAAGCAGGGGACTTTCCCAGATTTTGGAAAGGGGGAAGGGTCCATTCTGAAGGGGGAACAATACCCCCCCCCAGCAGTAGATTTCTCCTACTTAAAGACTGTTGTTCACCCTACCATGCAATCCAGACTGGTACCTAGGAGACACCCTCTCCCAACAGGAAAACTACAGAACCATTTAACCTGTAGGAGAGTAATGGGGATGTGCAAAACCTCGTGGGCAGATCTGTGGCCCAGGAGCTCCAGGCTCTTGTTTTACATCTCTTCTCTCCTTCCCAGGACACCTCTTAAGGCTCCCTTTGGCTTTAAATCTGCAGGAGGGTAGTTTTGCTATTCCTAACCCATCTTAGTTTTCACCCACCTCTCCAAACATTAAGCACTCCACTGGCTTTGTACCACAAAGCTATGAGCCGAAATCATACAACTTGCTTGCAACTAGGGAAAGCTTCACAAATGGTTCCATCTCAGTTCACCCCAGGTCTTCCTGACTTCCCCAATCCTCTCTCTTTCTCATTTGTCTTGCAGAGACTGAGGTGGAAAAAAGCAGGTAATTCTTACCAGGTGGACAGAGACATGTTTCCCTTCCGCTGTTCATGCCCAATTAGGCAGAGCATGAAAAGGAAAAGAGAGATTCCCATTTCACTGGAGGATAGAGACCATAACCATATGCTCATGAACAAGCCAGGGGCCTCCTTGAGCTGAATTCTCAAATCAAAAAAGGAAATAGCATGCCTTTGAGCTAGCCAGACTAAAACCAAAGGAAAAGGTTTTGTTTGTTGATTTTTGGTTGTGAGGCCTGGTTTGTTTGGTTTTTTTCCTGCAGAAAGCGCTAGGACTTCACCTCCCCGCCTTCCTACGCAAGACAAATGAAGGAAGCCAAAATGCCTGTCAGCAGATTTCTGGCCTGGGAGCTCCAGGTAACTGCGTACCATTTCAGCCTCTACTTCTGGGTGGACTTCAGGGATCCCCTTCGCCGTCAGATGTGGTAACAGCAGCCTTACCAGCACCCATCGCTTCCTGCAAGGTTTCACGACCTCTAATGCCGGGCTTGCTCCCCGGTTTTACCCTGGCAGGTCAACCTGTCGAGCAGGGCGCTCCGTGACAACGCACCGCAGAGCTTCCCGACCCGCGCGCGCACCGTCTTGTTTCACAGGGCATGCTGCAAGCTCTCGGTAAAACCTATTTACCGTTCTCCCGGTTCCCGTGTTTGGCTGGGCGTCGGACCCTCCAGCGCTCTCCTCAGTTTGCAGCTGTTCTGCTTTCGGCGACGTGCTTTAAACAACAGATTAAAATAAATGCAACCCAAGTTAAAAAGTTGACTCTCCCCGGTGTCCGGCGCTACCTTTCAGGTGATCTTGCTCTGCAACCGCCTTTACAACACGTGGGTCCCCATCGGTGCCGGCGCGGGGACCAGCACCGCGCCCAGCAC